ATTCTCACTAGGAGATTCATTTAAAATATATTTAATAAACATTTAGAGTCCAAAGAATTTTCCTTACTAGTTTATAAAAATGATAGAGTGAATCAAATCTGGGGCCTAACATGACACATAACAGTGTCTCCAATAACAATCTACTGTGGATGAGGCATTAATTTTTTTCCAATATGTCTTGGTATTCAAGGATTTAGAGTATATTCTACCAGCTATGCATTTCCTTGTTTTTGCTGGCCTTCCCTACAGCATTAGATTTCTTTATTGCAGTTTTTCTGTGTGTTGGAATAAAGTTTCTTTCTTAAAAGAAATATTGCACATCAGCCTTTAAAGTGCTTTTGATCTAAACTATCCTCAGTAATACTGTTCCCATTGAAGACAATGGTGTCAGATAAAGCCTGCAGATAGAACATATTTTAACAGGAAACAAAAGTTCCAGCTCTTCAATTCTGAAGCATCTACAGTCTGACTACCATACCGTAAGCCAGTTTAGACATGCTTGCTTGTCAGTTACTTTCCATTCTTTCTGATGAACAATTCTATCTTTCCCTTGCATGACCTGAATATAATATTTTGAAGAAAGATGAAATACCTGCAGTGCCTTGTGCATTGGTCCCCCCTGGATCATTTGGATTTGCAGGCCCAGCTGGTGGCTCATATCCTACCACTAAATCAATCGTTGCCTGTGTAGAAATTTACAGTTACATATGTAATAATTGACTTAAAGCAGGATAAACAAGTGGTCCTACAAGTCAACATTAACAGCAAACTAGTATCTGTACTACAGTTTACAATGACAAATTGAAAAACAAAGAAATAAATGGCCATTATCGCCTGCTACGTTAGTATACACATACAAAGACTACAGGCCACACTCTATGCAATTAATCTGAAAATGTATTTGAGAAATTGAGCTACGCTATTTATGACATTTAGAAAATCCTGTCATACTGAGTTCCAATGATTTAACAGTACTCTATACATCTAATTAATTAAAGCCTCATAATACCCATGCAGGCCAGGTGAGTAGTATGATCCCCATTTTACAGATGGGAAAATTGAGGCAGAAAAAGAGAAAATGACCTGTTCAATGTGACAGCAACTCTGAGCTGGAGGTAGAATACAGCTCTCCTAACTCTCAGGCCATGCTTTTACCCTATAAATGAGCACGGTGTCTTTTTCCAGTCTCATTACAATACTGGTTATACTGTGGTCTGCAGCACTTCGTGGCACTTTTCAACACTAAAACATTAACAGGGTATAACAAAGAGTCAACAAAAAAGTACATGACAAAATACAAATGACTCTGAATTGCTTCAGAGAAGATACCTGAAATTGGCAGTAAGGTCTTGCTCTTGCCTTTGAGCACATAAATGTGTATTTCCAGGTATGTACTATGCTCCTGATGCAGGAAAGGGTCCCTGTTCAGGACAGCAAGTAATCACGGGCTTAACTTTAAGCACATGCTTAAGTCAAAGTATTTAAGTACTGTTCTGAAGAGGCATGGACTTTTAAACAGGTTTATAAAGTGCTTTCCAGAATCACAGTAGCTGATTTTCACAAGGTAGGCAGCAAAACCTGCATGTGGGAACTCAAACTGGCAATTAAGCAAGTAAATGCCATTTTTTCTCTAAACATCTAGTGCTATGTTGATTCTCATTAACTATATGCTCTAGGTCATATACATATTATTGAAAACCAACATATTTAATTAAAATGTATTTGTCCGTATTGAACATTTAGATGGTGTTGATGTAGTCATACATTAATAGACGCTCCACTCAGTGCTTTTGCCTATAAAATCACTAATAATTTTATCTATAAAGCAAACTGAAATGCTTTTGAAATGTTTTTGTTTCATATTAAACCCTCTTGTTAGAGCATTTAATTCAATAAATCAGTAAAACAAAGATAAGGAAATCACTCACGCCAGTGTTCTCTCCCCTTTCATTTAGCAGGGAAATAAGCTTGAAGGGAAGAGATCTACTCTGGTTGCCTACAAGTTCCTTAAGTGCTACTGATGCATTTCCAATTAATCTGCAAGAAAAGTGGAAAAGATATTACATTAGCATATACTCTGTGTATTATGCAGACAGAAGTATCCTGTTATCTGTAGCCAGTTTATGCTTGCTGTCCCTTACATAACCAAATGGGTCCAAAAGCATATAAAGACTTCAAAGCAAATAAAAGCAACTAAAATATTGCAGTTATTCTCTAATTGTAGACTATTAACTATTCATTTTTTATTTTGGTCCCCAAAATGTGCTATTTGTTTCACTGAAGACAACTCTTACCTGAAAGAGTTTATAGCCTCAGTTTAAGACTTAACACAATGAGTGAGGCTTGCAAACAGAAGGGAGGAAATAGGATACAGGAGGATGAGGGTTACAGCTATCGGAAAATGCATTTCACAGTGTAGGCATAAGGCACTTCTTAGGTCTGTAAATGTTATTAATTAATGTTTTAATGTACAGCAGAGTATAATGTGTGTGTGTAGCTTGTGTGTATATCCGTCCGTCTGGGATAAATCAGTTTACCGCTCTGAGCCACAGACTACCCATTGGTTAACTGGAGATAATGATACCTTCCTTTGTAACGCATTTTGAGATCTACACATGAAAAGCACTACATCAGAGCTAGGTATCAAAGCTTTGTATATATGAAGAAGAAAGATCAAGAAACAGATGGCTATAACTGATTTACTTGCATCACAGAATTAATCTACCGGCCTATTGACGACATAGACGGTGCCCTTGATTGGGCCCTCTGAGAGCAGAGTGCAGATTTAGACTGTGCTTCAACACAAGCCCTGCCAGGAGAAGCTGTCCAGAAAATTTGCTAGCTCATGCCCACTCCCAAGGCAGCTTTGCCCACTTTTGGGCTGCACTGGCCGACTCCAGTCCCCTCAGAAGAATGAAGCTGTGAATACTTTGTGCCAGTGCAAACTCCCTTCAGGCAGAATTCTACCACTGGGGGCTCACAGTCTTGTGTTATGCTGGAAGAAGTTGTTGTAGCCTATGGCTAAATCAAGTCATATTCACAGATTTAATGTACGTGAACCTAAGAACATAATAAGGTGTTTACAGATGAATAATACAATATACAAGCCTTTGTAGTGCAACTTATCTGTAAATGTAAAAAATGAGGCATTTCCTAACTGAAATTATACTCTGGGTATGTAGTGATGAAGTACATCAAATCATGAAGTAGATTCCTAGAATAACTGAGAGCTCTGCAGATGAGATAACCCTGGCTAAATTTACTCTGCAAACATTAAACATAACACACTTTTCAAAGAACTCTGCAGTATTACTGCCAAATTGTAAGAAAAATCCTCTACTTGAGAGCTCACACTGAGGTCCCTTTGGACAGCCATTGGTGGCTTTTCAGTCAGAAGCCAAGGATCCCACAGCACTTTCCAAATTCAAGGGGCAAATCTAATATCTTAGCCATCTTCTGTGCCTTATAAAATGTCATAAGCACCTAGCTTATTGTTTGCAAAGTGCGTTAGAATTCATTATATACTAACCATTCAATATAAATATACATTCTAAGTTGTTCCAGTCTATTCGTTATGTATGTTTTTCTTTACAGAAAGACTAACTGGATACTTTCAGCATGAATATCTCCTTCCTTAGAGGTTTTTAAGGTCAGGCTTGACGAAGCCCTGGCTGGGATGATTTAGCTGCGGATTGGTCCTGCTTTGAGCAGGGGGTTGCACTAGATGACCTCCTGAGGTCCCTTCCAACCCTGATATTCTCTGATTCTCTGATTCTATGAATGACTTGTTAAATGAAGGGAAACATCACAAGATGTACATTAATTCTTCCCATGGACTGATCATGCAGCCTCTACTGCTATCTCAGTCATGTCCAACCTGGGGTGCAAGACAGCAAGCCCAGGAACCAAATCCCGGTTTCTCTCATGGCAGTGCAAGTAGCCAATCTGTACCCACAGGACAGCACTGATGTCAGATTTGGGAATGGACTTTAGGAGCACCATACCTAGGTCTGTGTCATGGACATGAGCACTGTAATTTATACAACAGTACATCTCAGTATTGGATGCTATGAGAAAAACAGAACATGCAACAGCAAGGTGCTGAGTGCCCCCTTTGACTCCCCTTGAAATCAACAGGAGCTGCACTTTGCACTTTTCTGTGACAATCCCTAAGAGCTTAAAAATGCAGACTTCCTACAGTACTTCCAGGCTGGGACTTTCAAAGGGGGCCAAGAGCTTCAACACCCAGGTCTGTCTGCACTACATTTTAAAACTGTCTCAGAGCCAGGGTCTACAGATTTCGGCTGGTGCTATGGCACTAAAAACAGCTGTATAGGCACGGAGGCTTGGCTAGGGGCTGGGCTCACAAGTCTGGAGGGGGAGGTGAAATTCAGTGGCAGCTGGGTGCCTTAGGTTCCTCTGAAAATCCTAGTCCTAGTTCATAATAACGTCTTTTACAGCCCAAGTTTAACATTACTAAACACCTACTTCATTTGTTTTATAGACAGCAACTAACTAATTTTAATAAAAGCTGCAGAAATGGAGGTATTGTTCTGTGGAACTGTGGAATTGTGCTGTGCATAAGAGGAGATTCACAACACAGTTTATCAGTTGCAAAAGTATCTCCATGCTCTTCCCAGCAGCTGTTGCATTTCACCAACACATTTCAAACAGAACTCATAAGAAGTATGTTGCATCCTAACTGATTAGGAGCTTCTGGAATGAAACAATGCAGTAAAGTAAGATTCCACAGACCACTGGTTTAAACCTGTAACTCACAGAACACAAATTCAACATGCAGCTTCCCCTTTTAGCTAACTCAACTCTCTAATCCAAATCAAAACCTGGAATGGACTCACATGACCCAGCTGCTATTCTCGGTACTCTAAAAGACCAGCATGGATAATGGAATGGATTCTCCATAAACATGACATCCCTCCTTTTTCCCCCACAAACTTTAAATTAAACAACAATTATTAAACTCACCACTTTGAAATACATCCACCTAATTAATAAAATACAAGCAGCACAGAATAAATGAAGCAATGTCAAAAGTTTGATGATTGTTCAACACATTCACAAAAACACTTATGTTTAAGGCTAAGATTTTGTCATGGTTTGTTTTTAGTAAAGTCACAGACAGGTCACGAGCAATAAACAAAAATTCATGGAAGTCATGACCTGTCCGTGACTTTTACTAAAAACAACTGTGACAAAATGGGAAGCAGGGGGGATCTAGCACCCAAGGCTGCTGCAGCTCCATGGTTTCCCCCGCCACCATGGTGGCTGGGAGCTGCAGGGTTCCCCCTCCACCCACAATGGCTGGAAGCTGCAGGTGTGACTTCATCCTCTCTGAGCAGTGACCATCGTGCCTCTGACCACTGTGGTCTTGTAAAGCTCCGGATAAAAGGGCGTAGAGAGTTTGTTGCTCGGCTGAAAGTTTCTGCCGAGAACTACATCTCCCACGTTGAAAGAAGTGGTCTTGACCTGTGCTGGTCAGCATATCTTTTCATGACAAGCTTCACTTTGTTGTCAAGTTGATGTAGAGGTTCATCATCTGCTCTTCTCTCAACTTGTGGCAGTTTTATTCTTAGTTGTCTGCCTAACAAAAGAGATGCTGGTACCATGGTAGTTGAACAGTGGAGAGTGGTTTGAAAACCGAGGAGGAAATGAAATAACTCCTGTTTCTTGTCTAATCCGTCAGCTGCAGCAATTCATAGTGCTTTCTTGAGTGGTCGCATAAACCTCTCATCTTCTCCATTGGCTTGCAGCCAGTGCAGAGTAAGTTTGAAACCAAGATACTCTGCAAATTGAGCGAACTGCAAGTCTTGAAATTGTCAGTTTTAATAACAGCAGGTATGCCATAGGCTGACAAAATCTTGTCTAGTTTGGGTATAACAGCATTAGCAGAAGTAGTGATGATCATTTCAACTTCAGGATTTTGAGAATAGTAGTATCTAATAACCAGTAAATGTTTTCCATTAGGGAGATCACAAAAATTCATGCTAACTTCTGTCCGTGGGGATGTGGGCAGAAGAGACATGTAGAGGAGGAATGTGGTTTTCCAGAACTCCTGCCTGGTTTATAGTCTGTATGATTTAAGGAGAGTTTCAGGAAGGCTATCAATTCTCGGGAACCAGACTTTTTCTCTGAGCAGGAATTTTGTTTTTACCAGTCCCTGGTGACCTTTGAGAGTCAAATCAAATGTGTGATCCCACAACAAATGCAGAACAAGAAGTCCTGCATCTTGGAGGAGGTCATAGTCCGTGACAGTAAATTCACCTTTGACACGGGCAAATGATCGTAGAACAGCTTATGTTTCAGGAGTCAAATGCTGTAAACTATGCAGTTTTTTCCAGTGATCACTTCAAATGGTTTTGATGATCATTTGGAGACATGTGTCAGACTCTGCAGCTGTCTTTATTTGTTGTAACAAGAGAGCTTTGCGAATGGTGTCTGAGAGGAGGAAGTTATATGCTTCTGCTTTCTCCATAGTGTTGTGATTAAGTGTTTCAGGAATAGAGTGCCTAGAGAAGTAGTCTGCATGGCTATCCTTTCCAGACCAATAGATAACTTTGTAGTCATAACCTTGTAGTTTGAGCATCCACCGCTCAATGAGAGCTGATGGGCAAAAAGAGGGATTATTGATCAGGGCCGGCTCTAGAAATTTTGCCGCCCAAGAATCCGAGCGGCCGCGGCGCGGGCGCCGCTCCTCCCCCTCCCTCCCAGGCTCTCAAGTCTGAGAGGGAGGGGGAGCAGCGGCGCGCGAAACGGCTGCTCGGGATCTCCCCCGCCCTCCCAGATTTGAGAGCCTGGGAGGGAGGGGGAGACTCCGAGCGGCCGCGGCGCTCTCAAGCCTGGGAGGGAGGGAGGGGGAGCAGCGGCGCGCGAAACAACTGTTTCGCGCGCCGCGGCCGCTCGGGATCTCCCCCTCCATCCCAGGCAGCAGCAGCGGAGGTGAGCTAGGGCGGCCCGCAGCACATTTTTAGGGGCGGCATTCTGGCGCCGGCCATGCCGCCCCTAAAAATGTGCCGCCC